CTTAAACCCTACACCCCTAAACCCTAAACCCCTAAACCCCTAAACCCCTAAACCCTTAAACCCAAAACCTCCTAAACCCTTAAACCCCAAACCCCTAAACCCTAAACCCCTAAACCGCTAAACCCCTAAACCCTTAAACCCTAAACCCCTAAACCGCTAAACCCTTAAACCCTAACCCCGAAACCCCTAAACCCCTACACCCTACACCCCTAAACCCTTAAACCCTAAACCCTACCTTCCATGATGCCAGGCTGCCGGTTGACGGAATCCGGACCTGGCAGCCATCGCCAAGCGCCTGCCAAGCAGGCTTCTTGGCTTTTCTTGAGGTTTAGGGTTAAGGGGCTTAGGGTTCTAGGGTTTTGTGGCTTTTGTAAGGCTTAGGAAGTTGGGTCTAGGCTACTTTAGGGTTTCGGGTTTAGGAAGTCTCGGCTTTAGGGTGGGAAACCCAAGCAAACTAGAGCAGCAGCAATAATTAGCAGCCACACGTCCAACCGCATGAATAAAATCAGACATTGACGCACACGTCCTCGCCCCAACTGTAACACGTGCACTTTCACCCCAAACAGTAAACAAGACCAGAAACCCTGATACAAAATAGCAATTTCTTGTTGAAGTGTAACAAAACAAGGACTTTAAGGGGATATTGTTGACAGTTATTCTAGCCTCTGAGCCTCTCACAACTCTTATAAGCAACTGCAAGGCCCGTTGTCAGTCTCTCAGCTGTGAAATAGCCTAAACCCAATAAACCATCAAACCTCTCTGCAACAGTGTTTAGGGTTTAGGGTCTTCGAAGTGGTTGAAGCACGGAGGACGTGTCCTGAGGCCGCAGGCCATTCCAGTGTCCGAATCCAGGGCATAGGTTGCCTCGGAAGTCATGTGGCAGGCTTTTGGCTGGGTTTGGGGTTTGGGGTTAGTGATTAAGGGTTCCTTCGGTACAAAAAGGGCGTCTTTCTCAGAAATCGACAATCCTATTCCGGCACTACGGGGTTTAGAAGGTTTTGGGTTGGGGGTTTAGTGAAGGGGTGACGCACAAGGTGAAGCCCGTCCACTGAGAGGGCTTCGGGTGGCTAACTAGGTTGAGTATTGCAAAGGTGATTCAATGGCCTTCTTTTATGTTTCCTTGAAGGAGTTCCCTTAAAGGGTTGGCCCAAGGGTGCCCGTTTGAAGGGGGTTGGGGGTTTATACCGTGCGTTCGCAATAGGGTGCGCCACTGCGCCTGCGCTGAAAACAGATATCATGATATTCTTCACCTTCACGACAAGACAAACAGAGTACCCTGAAGACCCAAAAATAATTTTACACCGTAGCCCCTGCAACCCTAGACGTGAAAGCCGTTATCCCCCTTAAGGGACCTGAATCAGTAGGATGAGTATCTTAGCGTTCCTAGTAGAACTATGGTATTATATGCACTCTTCCAAGTATTGCCTTCAAAGAACCACATAGAAACCCTATTGCAACTATTGACCCCTCTACTGCCAGGGGACCCCTGCAACCCTACACCCCTCAACCCGAAAACCCGAAATTCCGAAAGTTTAAGACCCTGAAACCCCAACACCCTAACATAACCCTAAACCCTAAACCCTAAACCCCTAACCCCTAACCCCTAACCCTAAACCCTAAACCCAGACCCAGCGGCATATTCCGGCGGCTGATAGTGCTCATAGAACTTCCAGATCTCCTCTAAAACCGGTTCTCACAGCAGGGTTCCTTTCACGGTTTAGGGTTTAGGGTTTAGGGGTGGTCCCTTCATCCGTCGAATGTCTAGAAAGGGATCGAATATCGTGTCCTTTAGGAGTTTTCCCGTTTGTTTTAGACCCTGACACTCGGAAACTTACGAGTTTTCTGGTGTTGTGGCCTGAGGCTTAGGGCTTAGGGCTTAGGGTTTAGGGTTTAGGGTTCCCTAAACCCTAAACCCTAAACCTTCAAGGTTTTGGGCTTTGTCGGCGTTGAGGTTTCAAGCTTTCCATGGGCTTCTAGACGGTCGAACCCTGGGGGCTTCGGAATTGCAATTTAGGGCTCCAGGGTTCTAGGGCATCCTCAGTAAGCCTAGGGTTCTAGGGCATCCTTAGAAACCCTAAACCCTAAACCCTACGGTTTAGGGTTTAGGGGCGAACCCCCTTTAGGCTTGGACAACCTGCCTTTATACACCGTTGATGCCTTCAAGGCAAACTCACACACAGTCGTAAGACCCTAAAGAAGCCCGCGACCTTCTAAACTCCATCCAAAACCTGATCAACAACGGTGAAAACAGCCTTAAGACCTTGAATAAACCCTCTACCCCAAACCCCTAAACCCCTGAACCCCAAACCCCTAAATCCCTGAACCCCAAACCCCTACATCCTCAAACCTAAACCCTAAACCGTAAACCCTAAACCCGAAACCCCTGAACCCCAAACCCCTAAATCCCTGAACCCCAAACCCCTACATCCTCAACCCTGAATCCTAAACCCTAAACCCCTGAACCCCAAACCCCTAAATCCCTGAACCCCAAAACCCTACACCCTCAACCCTGAACCCTAAACCATAAACCCTAAACCCTAAACCCCTGGACCCCGAACCCCTAAAACCCCTGAACCCCAAACCCCTACATCCTCAACCCTAAACCCTAAACCCTAAACCCCTGAACCCCAAACCCCTAAATCCCTGAACCCCAAACCCCTACATCCTCAACCCTAAACCCTAAACCCTAAACCCCTAAACCCCTAAACCCCAAACCCTAAACCCTAAACACTAAAACCCCTCTACCCCAAACCCCTAAATCCCTGAACCCCAAACCCGTACATCCTCAACCCTAAACCCTAAGCCCTCAACCCTAAACCCTAGACCCTAAACCCCTCTACCCCAAACCCCTAAATCCTTGAACTCCAAACCCCTACATCCTCAACCCTAAACCCTAAACACTAAAACCCCTGAACCCCAAACCCCTAAATCCCTGAACCCCAAACCCCTGCACCCTCAACCCCAAACCCCTACATCCTCAACCCTAAACCCTAAACCCTAAACCCTAAATCCTAAACCCTAAATCCCTGAACCCCAAACCCCTAAATCCTTGAACTCCAAACCCCCACATCCTCAACCCTAAACCCTAAACACTAAAACCCCCGAACCCCAAACCCCTACACCCTCAACCCCAAACCCCTACATCCTCAACCCTAAACCCTAAACCCAAAACCCCTGAACCCCAAACCCCTAAATCCCTGAACCCCAAACCCCTACACCCTCAACCCTAAACCCTAAACCCTAAACCCTAAATCCTAAACCCTAAATCCCTGAACCCCAAACCCCTACACCCTCCACCCGCCCCTAAGGCACACTGTGGTCCTCGGTGGTGTTGCGCCCGTAGGTCGGATCGAACTTGCGGTGCAGGAAGCTCGAGAGGTTCTTCCTGCTTTAACTGGGCTCTTGTTCAGGATAGGGTTAAGGGTTTAGGGTTTAGGGTTTAGGAACCCTAAACCCTAAAACCTTAAACCCTTAAGCCTCAAACCCTAAATTGACTTGAGTCGCCACAACAGGCATCTAGAGTAAAGGTTCCTCCAAAATGGAAACCTGCAGCATTGGTACGGCAAACGATGGCAGTGTTGCTTAGAGTTCCTGATAATCAACAGTCATTTTGGTGTAAGCTACCCTCAAACCCTATTCTAATCATCCAGGTCCCTATTCTTATTATTCTTCTTCTTGCTTTTATTACTATTATTGCTATGCTGTGTCGACTGTTTCAGGGTCGCCTCCGAATGGAACTTTGACCAAATGTGCTACAGGCGTGGCAAAAATTAGCAATACATTGTGGGGACTCCTTACTTTAATTATAGACTATGGACATAGTATAATATACACCCAGACCTTAGTCTAGCTATTATGGCCCCTGTGCTGGACAGCCCGGGTGCAGAATTTCCTTTCAGTTGCATGCTGGTCCCTGCCTGAGCGAAGACAGACTCGTTGTCGAGTTCTTATACAGGTTTGTGCTCTGAGACAATATGCAGGTTTTAGTACCCCAAAGGAACTACAAGTCACACACTACTCTGCATAGATGTCCTGCTTGAAACCCTAAAGCCTAAACCCTAAAGTCGCATCTTTAGCGCACCTTCCTGGGAGCTTGCAGCGACCCTGCCGGTCTCTGCCTTTCGTGGTATCTTAAGACCTTGTTCAGCCCCAACTCGTTCATGCAGGGGCCTAAATAATTGCCAAAACTATTTTGGGGGCTCCTTATTATAAGTATAGTATAATGGGCCCCAAAACCCTATTCTAATTATTCAAGTCCCTTTATCAACCCTAAACTTCCTCAGTCCTATAACTCTCAGTCCTATAACTCTAACCCTAAACCCTGAACTTCTTCAATCCTCACTCTAACCCGCAGCCTTGCTCAGGATAGGGGATCTCCTCAAGATGGCAACTTAAGCTAAGCTCCTGCCTTGAAGCCGAAAGGATCCAAAAAAGGCAGATCCCCCGATTTCGGACCCTATAGTACTAAAGGGTACTGTAGGTAGGAAGCCCCTTAAGGGATCTACTTCTTGGATTTTTCCGGTGGTCTGGGTAACTTAAGGCTCATACCCTAAATGCTCGAGCCCCTAAACCCCTAAACCCTGAAGCCCCTAAAAGCCCTAAGCCCTCAAACGTCAGCTCCTTAGCTTTCAAGTGCCCAGTACTAAGGACCATAAGGCTCTATTAAAGGGGTACTTGGGGTCAAACTTAAGCTCCTCAACTAAACGAGACCTACCTACCCTTTAAGGAACTATATATAGAACTCAAACCCTAAATCCTAAACCCTAGACCCTACCCTTTGAGGAACTAATATAGAACTCACATACTAGGGAGCTTCTTAGAAGGTAGGTCAACCCTAAGCCCTCAAGCATAAGCTCCCTAGCTAAACGAGATCCTTGGTCCGAGTCCTTGAGCGGTTCTACTTGGAGGCCCAGGCGACTTAGTAAGTCGGTTATAAGTAGGGTTATACTTGGGGTAACTCCATTTAGGGTACTTATAACTCTACTTATAACCTAATTACTAAGTCCCCTGGGCCTCCAAGTAAACCCCTAAACCATATAGAAATCATAACAGTGAGCCCTTACATCCTAATAAACGAGATCCCCGGCCGAGTCCTTGAGATGTTCTCCAGCTCCGGCGCCGGGGACACGGCCAGTTCGGCTTGGGCGCTCTGCCTGGGTCTGTTTGGGGCTTAAAAGGTTTACAGGGTTTAGGGCTTAGGACTTATACAGGGTTTATAGTGCTTAGGACTTATAGGGTTTAGGGTTCGGGGTTTAGGGCTTGTAGGGTTTAGGGTTCAGGGTTAAGGGCTTGTAGGGTTTAGGGTCCTCAGGGTATCGGGCATAGGGTTTAAGGTTTATCTACACGGCTTTGGCAGCAAGGGCTGCGAACAGTGCGCAACGTTTAGGGTCAGCATCGTATGACATACTAGCAACACTTACGATAGTAGACAATCTAGGGGCCTCAACATGCCTTAATTGGAATAGGGTTTTGGGGGCTCCCTAAATATAACTTTAGTATAATATGCCCCAAACCCTATTCAAATTATTAAGGCCCCTATATCATTCAGGTCCGAGGTTGTAATATACAGGCCGTTATATTTTGTTTGAGCCCCGGGAATGGGATTTGTGATTCTTCCGGCTTCTATACAAGGGCTTGATGGTCATGCTGCCAATGATCATGATGAAGATGAACCTGCTGCTCTTGATGACTCACCATCATCGACATGGTTGCCTTCCAATCAGCGCCGAATTGACCTTGAAATAAAGAGATGAGTTACGAGGAGACCGTGGGTTGGGGTTAAGCTCTCTAGGGTTTAGGGTTTAGGGTTTAGGGTTTAGGGTTGAGATGTCCGGAAAACACCAGGAGGGTGAACGTCTTGATTGGCAATCTTGTGCCTGTCTTCATTCCTGCTTCAAGCTTTTACTGTTGTGCTGGTAAATCAACATAATCCTGAGACTGGCAAAGCTCAGAAACCCTACACAAACCTCAAGCCAAGCCATCGCAGCTCGACGAGCTACATAATCAGCGGGACGTCATGCAGGCCAGTTTCCAGCGCATCAAGCAAAGGTGAAGTAATCCTTTGTGCCCAGTGCTTCCGAGGTGGAAATGGGTAGTACAGGAAGATAGCGTTCCGCAAGTCTGTTGAACATATACTATAAGACAATATTTCGTCGAGTAGAATAGAGTAAATTACAGCATAGTATACCAGACCATATATTATAGTATCAGATATGTTTAGATGCTACATACAACACAAGAATGCAAAGGATAATATGTGACGAAGACTTTCAACAGAACCGATGGGTTGTATGGTCGTTCCTCGCTTGCCAGTAACAGGCAGCTAAAAACTTAACAAATCAACAAATAAATATTAATCCCATACAAGGGTTTTAAAGTTAGCAGGTGGTTTCGGTAAGTTCAGGTACGCCTGAACCAACCGAAACTTACTGTTGTCAAGGTCCCTGTAGACTCTAATTAGGTTTTGTACGTAGGAACTCCGCTCGAATTCGGGTTGAGGGGTTGGGGAAGTTGGTTGCTTTGAAGCTATGTCCCACAGGCTGCTACCTACATGGCAACTTCGACAACAACTGCTTCTTCAAAGAGCGCATGTCCTGCCCGCAGACATTCAGACTAAAAGGCGTGGCCTACCTTGAACCTAAACCCTAAACCCGAAAAGCCCGAACAACCGTAGACCCCAAACCCGAAAACCCCTAAACCCTGAAAGCCCTAAACCCTAAACCCGAAAAACACTTAAACCCTATGGATCACAGATTCCCCGATGCGAGGGATTGCGAATGCGTGCGTTAAGCAGCGGGTTTGGGGTTTAGGGCTTTGCGCCCTGCTTTGCCTCCATTTGCATGACTTGCATGGTCATAACTTGTAATTAACCCCCTAAACCATAAACCCTAAACCGCCCCAACCCCTGAACTTGTAACCCCGAGTCCCCTAAACCCTAAGGCCTAAACCGCCCCAGCCTGCAAGCCTTGAGAAACGCCTATACCCTCAACGCCGTGAAATCGGGGCCTTGACAATTAGACTAGGGGTTTGGGGGACATTATACCATAGTTATACGTGTATAATGTGGGGGCCTTATGTTTTTAGAATAGGGTTTGAAGGGGTATATTATGCTGTACTTATAACAAGGACCCCCCCCTCCAAGAAAATAGTACTAGGCCCCTAAACCCAAAACCCTATATGAAGCTGTGAACCCCAGACCCTAGACCCAAAACCCTAAACTCTAGACCCTAAACCCTCAACCCCTAAACCCTAAACCCTAAACCCTAAACCCCTAAACCCTAAACCCTAAACCCCTGGAGCCATGGCTGGAGTCGTCGTTCCATCGACGAAGACCAGTGCACTCATCCGAGTGCGGAGGCCTTCATGGTTCCTCGGCCCAGCATCGGCTTAGGGTTTAGGGTTTAGGGTTTAGGGTTTAGGGTTTAGGGTTTTGGGGTTTTTGGGTTTTTGGGCTTAGAGTAGGTTTCGAGGTTGGCGTTTAGGGTTTGTTCGGTTGTTCGAGTTCAGAGTTTTAGTCTGGCGAACACATATATGCCCTGATGGTTCCTTCACACAGCCGAAGTCCTAACGCCTGACACGAAACAGGCCTTGTACTTCAAACTTAAGCGTTAAACCCATGAACTGTCCAAGCTCCTAGTTTTCGCACGGTGTTCCTCAACAATAAATATGTTGCGGCCGCTACGGCAGACGCATCCGTGAAAGCGGCGTGTAGAGACATCTTCCGACTTCATGATGCAGAGGCATGACTTTTCGCATTGTAGGCTTGGTGCACTTCTACAGTCTACAGACAACAGTCTCCTCACCAGCAGAACCAACGTTCAACTGGAGCTTCGATTAACGTGGGGAGGGGCCTCTAGCATGGACCCCAAATGGTGGGATTTGCATTAGCTCCCTCCCCCAACAACAGAACCTCCAATAAAAGCGACGAGGTTCGTCGGGTAGTCGTAGAGCGCATCGAACAGTGAATAAGACGGATCTAGGGCGGCATCAAGCAGGCCTGTCAGAACCCTAAGGGTCCATGTACCCAAATAGTAGAACATTGGCCTTTATGTAGTCCCTATATGGGTACTTTAGGGCTAATGTTCTACTATTTGGGTACATGGACCCTTAGGGGAAGATCGTCTTCAATGCTGCGCCGGGTTTAGGAATCAGGGGAACTTCTGCGTCGGCTTAGGCTTTAGGGTCTAGGGTTTAGGGTTTAGGGTTTAGGCAATACCGTCTGAATGAGTTGATTCAATGACGCTCTCCTAGATGTCCGGTACCTAACTCAACTAAAGGTTAACCTTTGGAATTATGTGGGATTATAGTACCCCAAAACCCTAAACCCTAAACCCTAACCCCTAAACCCTAAACCCTAAACAAAAAGGTTAAGGTTGACTCTAGTACTGAGAACATGTTTCAGTCCCGTGGTCGCAGTTGCGGTTTGCATCAGGAGGGC